GCTAGATGACAACTTGTTTATCTTCAAGCCTTTAAGACCCCAGATGCTATATCTTTTGATAGCTGGGCACCATCAGCTTTCTTCACCACATTTGCCTATGCACCCGCTTTGTCTTCAGCAATCACGTTGGGAAGATGAGCATCATGGGATGGAAAGCAAAATCTTTCTGCAATGGAGCTATCTAATCTGTATGTCTCATGCATTACTTCCCTCTGACTCTTGGTTTCGGGCCAACTGATGCACACACTGTTTCTCAGACAGACTGAGAGCAAGTCCTCCTTTATACTTACAGATTCTACCCATTGTCTCATTAGTTTATCTTGTCTCTTTGTGCGTCTTCACCCCATCAAGAACGCAGGTTTCTGCCACACAACCAGTGGGACAAGGTATTCTCTCCCCACTCTTTGGTCCAGTCCAAGCCATCTAGCCTTCCAAATACCAGCAATTAACCGGCCCCTGGAATCCAAGTCCCACCCAAATCCGAATTTGTGAAGGCTGGAAACTGTGATGCTCTGGACTTAATAGAAGTGGGAGTTACCCCTCTGCCCTGATACACAAGAGAGGTGCTGAGTCACACTCAAATCTGTTGTGGAAATCAGAGTCCCTGAGGACAGGGACTTTGTTTTATATTTGTTCCTTGCCATCCCTCCACTCACATCCCCCCAAGTCAAGTAAAAGAGTTGCTCGCCATGAAACTAATAGCTCAACAATAAATGTCTCAGCCTGTTTGGTCTTCTGCTGTAAGATGACACATAGTGGTAAGTAAGCATGGAAGGACTCATTGATAATGAGTTGTGATGACATCAACATTCTCTAATTGGCTTTGTAAATTATGCTTGATCCCAGGAAATAGTAGGTGACACATAGTGGTGAGGATGGAAAGAATCATTATAGCTAATTAGTCAAAATGACATCAAAATGGTCTAATTGGTGCTGTAAAACAGCCTTAATCCCAGGAAACATTAGGTGTTGAACTGCATTAGACCTTCACTCCTGAAGTACCAGGCTAACATTCTATAGGGGAGTGGAACAAGCAATGCTAACAGCAGCCCTAAGACATCTATGCCCATCAGCATTGACTTAACTTCCCCAGAGAGAAACACCAACGGCCCAGGTGGATTTCAGATAGGAGGCTCCCTCCACACACGAGCTGTCTAAAGAAAGAAATGGCCACGTTATCCAGGAGCCCTCTTTATGGACGCCTAGACCAAACTTCCAAGCAAGACTATCAGATTCGCCACAAGCCGATCGAAACCCACCCCTAATGGCACTCCCACTGATCCAAGCCGCCCTGTCCAAACCCTTATATGGGGGACCTTTCTGGATTTGGACTTCATGCCCTGTTCAGTGCTATGACCCTTTGGGCCTCTATTCTTTGCACATACAGGCATACCGTTTTCTTTGTTAAAAGAAAGCTTCGATTTAAGCTTTAGTAAGTAAAGATATCTGTGTGTTGGTATGGTTTTTTTAAATCGGTTTATTGGGGGCTCATACAACTCTTATCACAATCCATACATACATCCATTGTGTCAAGCACATTTGTACATTCGTTGGCGTCATCATTCTCAAAACATTTGCTCTCCACTTAAGCCCTTGGCATCAGCTCCTCCTTTTCCCCCACCCTACCCGCTCCC